CCCTCTCAGTGATAGCATGACTGGGGAAATTAAATAAACCCACTAACTTCCTCACGAACCAGCCAGCACAGGAGTTAGCGAAGCAGCTAACGCAGGAGTCAGTGAGGATTAGCAAGTGTACGGGAGTGAATGAGAGAGAGTAAGGGAGAGAGTAATGGCTCCTGGACCCCCTCCTCGCCTCTGCCCCCAGCATGACGTACTATGGGATGAAATACTCCCTTGGTCAGTTTGGGTCAGGTGTCTGAGCTGTGTGTCCCAGCACTGCCTGTAGCGAGACAGCGAGAGCTGGGAACGCAGCTGCAGGATCAGAAGAGGAGAAAGACCTTGAATTCAGTGCAGGCATCCCCCAGCGCCAGCTCAGAACTTATCAGTGCTGCTCCCTGCATCCAGGAACTCAGCTTCCTAGCAACCACGGTAAAGAGAGTTAACTCTTTCCTGACTGAATCCAGCACACCACCCCTGGGGCCACTCCCCTGCTACCAAACCCACCACCACACATGAACCCAACACACCCGCCAAGCAGTAGTGTTCGGAATAGCGGCACGCAGATGGAGGTGAATTCTTGTCTTCAGCTGAACTGTCAGAGTTCGTGTGGTGTTAGGGAAGAATTCTCCTCTGTCACATGCTTTTGCATATGCTACTAATGTTAAAGAGCTGCTCATTCTGTGTGGATATCCACCAGTGATTTAAAGAATAGATACAGGACATGGCTTCTTGATAAAGGTTAGAAGTTTTTCTGGCAGTCTTGTGTAATGGTTGAGTGTCCGAATGCAACAGTATCAATAAATATTTGCTTTCAAAATATGTTCTGTTTTAGTTGCTGACAAATCATTATGAAAGATGCTGGAAGTATTATTGTTTGCCAGGTGGATGGGGTAACTTTGGTGCTGCCTCAGAAGAAGAACTTCATTTATCCAGAAAGTTGTTCTGGGGTATTTTTGATGCCTTGTCTCAAAAGGTAATTTATTTTAATATTCATCTACTACTGTAAAATACTTACTGTGTAACCTTTTTTCTTTAATCTGTCATTTTACCCAGCTATTATCAACACTGTATTATCCACTTTAAAGGGAAAAATAAAGGTTTTAGTAAATTTAAATCTTTCTCTTGTAGCTTCTGCTTTAACCTAGGTATACCATTTTATCTGCTTATTAAATATATATATATATATAGAGAGAGAGAGAGATAATGAAATAATCTTGAGGTGTATCTGTACAGGTCAGCTACACTTCAGAGCCCTAAGAGCACACCCAAGCATCTGTAGGGGACTGCAAGCTGCACTTTTCTACCTCACACACTATCCTTCCTTAAAGCAAGAGCATGGCTTAGTAGTTGTATTTTCATCACTCTTGAGTCAATTTTGTGTTTGACAAAAGTTTATTAATACACATTGGTATGTATTTATTGTTCATTCTGTGAGTATTTTTAACTAACTTGCTTAAAATTTTGAGAGTTTCATTTCAAATCTAGGTATTTAGCTATGCATATTCCTGTGCTATGTTATCTTTCCAGACATCTGAAAAATGTCTAGTGTTGCTTCCAGTCCAATCAACATGTTCCCTATTTACTTCAGCAAGAGCAAAACTTGATCCTAGCTATCGTTATCTATAGATCTTCTCTACAGTGTATTATATGCCTTCAGCAGTCAGTTTCCTTTATTTTCAGGGAAAAACAACTATTTCACACTAAGAAAGCCACTAAGAAAGCTGCTTAGTTTCACTTACAGCTGTATCAGTTTCAGCAGTGGTGGTGATAGCTTCCGTTCACTACTCCCTTTCTATCCCCCCGTGTTCCACAGAAGTATGAACAAGAACTGTTCAAATTGGCTTTGCCTTGTTTGAGCGCAGTTGCAGGGGCCTTACCTCCAGACTACATGGAATCAAATTATGTCAATATGATGGAAAAACAGTCTTCGATGGATTCAGATGGAAACTTTAATCCTCAACCTGTTGATACATCAAAGTAAGAAATTAGTTTGTTGCAATTAGGTTTTTTTATCATGAGTGGGTAAAGGAGGGACAGAGTCTGGGTTTGGGTATGATGTGAACTAACAGCTTTTATTCTTTTCTGATGCTTATCTTATAGATAAAATGGAGACCTTAACTTTATATTTTAATTTTTTATTTAAGCATTTATTTTAAATCATATAAAGCAAGAAATTTTCAGGAACATAACTAATTTCTTGGTCAACCTAAAACATTTTTAGTGCATTTTCAGACTGAAGATAGAACTGTCCAGTAAGCTTTGTCTGTCTGCTGTAAACAAACAGCATGTTTATAGGAGCAAAAAAGACCAGTCTATATCATCCCTGTAATTTATTAACACGTGCCAAGATACTAATTCCAGTGTACGTGAATGACAGTGTACCTACAAAAAATGGTTATGATCACACATTTATATAATCTATTTTTACTGTGAATATTGGGGAATTGGGCAGAAACATCTTCATTCTCTCTAGGCAGTCAGACTCTGACCATGCACTTTTAAGTATATTAGCCAGAAAAAGTATATATCTGAGTGGAATTTTTGTGCCCTGATTTTTGACTACAGCCAGTGCCCCATTCTACTTTATATGGAATAATATTTCAGCAGTGTGATAATGCACTGTCTTGAAAAATGCCACTTGTAAGACATTTGCTTCAATTGCCTTTGTGCGCTTTCTGTCTGTATTAACATTCAGAACACAGAATGCTGGCAATGGATTGATACCTTTGTTACAGCATACTTGTACATGCATGCTGTTGTGAATGGGTGATTTAGCTTAAAGAACCACCGTCAGAGGTATTTGCAAAAGTGTTTTTCATATGAGGATGTAAAAATGTGGCGAATGTTGATGGCAGTCATTTGAACAGTGATTCAGTTACCAAGGCACAAATCAGTTATTGTAGTACAAGTTTATATGCTATATCAGTGACTTACCAAAGATCTGCCATTGGTAAAAGGTCTCTCTGCCTTGAGAAGCAACCTTGAGATATGTACCAGCTCAAGGAGAGACCACTGCCATGCAGCTATACTGCCTAGCTGGGAGGGTTCAAAGAAGGCTGACTTGTCATAATTGTGGGATCAAGTGGTTGGATCGTAGTCAAATTACATGTGATGGGAAACGTATGCATGAGACTCCTTGTACCCATAATGTTCTTTGTTCCTTGATAAATGAGTTTTGGAAACCCCATGTAATATTCATGTATTTATTGCATGATCATTGTTCCAAGCTCCTATGCATTGATGCTCACTGTGTCACTCTGCTCCTTTGTGGGTTTTTCAGACAACAGATTGGAATTTACGGCTTAGTCCTTTACCTCCTTTGAAGCCTGTACCAAACTAGCACTGGTTTGGTTAAAGGGTTGAGTGCATCCATCACATATGCACATTGAAATATGGTAGCAAAAGCCATAATCTAGACTCGAACATAGAAATCATATCAGCGACCATTAAAATTCATTTGTCGAAGATATATTTAGATATATGAGGATTTAAGAAAATTCAGTAAGGATATTGTACTATCATTAAACTAATTGAGATTACTACATCTGGTGTTGCTTCAGAAGAAAATTTTAGATGCCAGAATATATTTGAAAAATTCAGAGAATGTTACTTAACATTACCCAAATCATCGGTCACCTCATCGCCATAGGAGTCAACAGTTCTGTGATGATTCAAAACAAAGAAAACACTACTTTTATCAGTGTCACTTCCAACCTTTCCTATATTCTTTTAACACGCAAATCCTGCTTTGCACTGCTTTGTAGTCCTAGGACTATTTGTATGAAGCCACAGATCACATGACCCCATTGTGCTTGCCAATTTATTACATTTCTGAAATTATTAAAAATATCTTACAATAAGTAGACTTCCCCTTAAAATACAGGCTTCCAAACAATAAAACCCACTGATGACCATGCTGAGTGAAAGTGTTCTGTTACTCTGACACAATTTATTTTTACATTTCTTCTTTTTCCCACTTTATGACTGAAGATTATAAACCAGACTCTTTTACTTTGCAGTAGATAGCACTGTAACATTTCTACTGGCAAATTCTTTGTCTTAGGAGGGAAGATTTTGCTGTTTCATAAGTCATAAAGAAACAGTTATTCCTTTTCAGATATAGGAATGCAGATGCAGAAAAATACTGATATTTGATAAATTATTTTTGGAAGAGCATTCTCTCTCTAGTGTTTGTTTGACAGTTAAGGATAGCTGCTTTTCTTTTACTGCTTAAGAAACCTTAACTTCTGCACTGTCTTGTACACCTCTTGAAGGGTTAGTGCATTTTTTTGTGTTGGGTTTTTTTTTTCAGTTTTCAATAAGCATTTTAGTATTTTTAATATTCACTGGGTCTTGAAAATTAAAAGCTTGAGCATATAACTTATTTGTCATAAGTTACAGTGCTTCAAGCATATAATAAAGTTTATAGAAATATATAAAATAGATCATGTGCTTCAAAAAGGACTGTTAGCACACTTAGTTTATAATGGACACATGCAATAGCTTACCACCGTACTTCTGAAACTATGGTTCATAATTATATCTCTAAGCTTAAGAAAATAAATGCTAGTAATATAAATATGTGACAAAATCATGAATGCTTGGTATCATTACTGATTTTTTCCTGCACATGTGTGTTGAAGAAGTAAAATTTCTGTAACAGCTCTGTTTTTTATTCAGTGCCCATTAAATAACTCAAATTTTTGCCTTGGTTTAATTGGGCTTGGAGCAAACTGTATGTGAGGAAACAGAACACAGTAACATGTTTTTTATGAATGTGTGCACTAGTTATTTTATTGAATGTTTTCTTCAAAACAAAAACATTCACATTTTAATGTGTACGATATAATGGCTATTTTTCTCTTCACTTTCAGCATTACAATCCCTGAAAAGCTAGAATATTTCATTAACAAATATGCAGAACACTCTCATGACAAGTGGTCAATGGATAAGGTAAAACCTAAAGCAGAATCAGAATTTTTGTTTCTATCCATTTTGTCTTTAAAATATTTTTGTCTGAATATTGCTGTTTTTCATAACACTATAAGTTGTTTCATACGTTAGATACAAACCTACATTTTCTTGAAATGCATTTGGAGACAAAATTCTGTAAGTGCATATGAGTATTTAAAAATATTGCCTTATCATTTCATTGTTTTCATTGTTGACTTTTGGGTAAAAATACTTGCTAATTGTTTGAATTTTATTGTTCAGTATTAAAAATATTTCCTCAACTGTAGCACAGTATTTATTCAGCTCTATAGATATATTTCAAATAGAAATATATTTAAATGTTAACTTTGTGTAATCATTAATTTTCAAAAAGATGGCATGCTATGTAATTCATTCCATTATGTGTAGATAATAAAAGAGCTGGCTGAGAAAATGTTGAGAAAACAGTAGAAAGGAAATTTTAAGAACAACTCTGAAGAAGCATTGTTTGGTTCCTTTGTACCAATAAGAGTAGGATTTTTCATATTTTTTTTCTTTCCCCATTTTTTTCTCTCTCATTATTATTCCTGTTTTCAGTTTGCCAATGGATGGACATACGGTGAAGCGTATTCTGAATCCGCAAAAGTGCAGCCATTAATGAAACAATATAAGTTACTATCTGAAAAGGTAAGGAATTTGTTCATTCTTGATCCGGAGTGGTTGAAAAATTGCTTCATTCACTGTGAAAATATCACCCTGTGTTTACATTACTTTAAAAAAAAAAAAAAATTTAGAGTATGTCAGCTGATGTGTGATTTTTGCCTCCCTCAAAATCTCAAAAAGAGATAGAAGGGTTTAATTGTGCAATAAATAGGCCAGTCGACCTATTTTCTGTCATGGCTGAATTTACGTGGCATAACTTATGGGGAAAATCAAGTACCATATTTTTACAGTAAGGCCATACAGGGATGCCTACTTGCTTAGTGAAGGCTTAGGTTTAACCTTTGTCTGGCCTCCAGCAGAAGGGCACCAAGATGATTAGAAGGTTGGAGAACTTGATAAATGAAACAAGGCTGAAGGAACTGGGTTTGTTCAGTTTAAAGAAGAGAAACCTGATGGGGATGTAATCTCGGTTCCCAGTACCGTAATGCTACTTACAGAGAACATGGATGTATTCTCTTCACGATGATGCACAGTGACAGGAGAAGAGGCAATGCATTTAAGTTGCTTCAGCAGGCATGCTTCCTGGAAATCCTTCTTACCTTGACAGACACTGGAATAGGTTGTCCCGAGAACTGAAGAAATCACCTGCACTGCAGATATTCAAGGCATGACATGGCAAGCACTAGTTAACCTAATCTTGATAACTGTTGATAACCCAATTAGGGTAACTTACCTAACCTCAACAGAAGGTTGAACCAAGTGATGTCCAGAGGTCCATTCCAAAATTGACGTTTTTTGTGATTCTGTGATTATGGTTTTTTGTTTCCTATAGCAGACAAAACACTGCATTACTCCTGGTAATTACTGTTCCACCTTTGAGTTCATATTTAAGCATTCCATTAACACGGTTATCCCTGTGTTCATCAGCTTCCTGCAGGGCCAGAATTATTCTGCCCATTTCTGAAATGATAAACTTTTTAATATCTTATATGATCTATTTCCTTCTTTGCAGTACGTTTCTTTGTGTCTTCGTGTAAGCAGGCAGAAGCTCAATAGTTATTTTTTTGCTCTGTACAGCTATGTAGTAAACAAGGCAATTATTGCATGTGCATTCTTCTAGGAGAAAGAAATTTATCGATGGCCAATCAAAGAATCATTAAAAACTATGCTGGCATGGGGATGGCGAATTGAAAGAACACGGGAGGGAGATTCCATGGCACTGTATAATCGGACGCGTCGCATATCTCAAACCAGTCAAGTGAGCCATTTTACTAAAAACTCATTTTAAAATAAGGCATGCAAAATCTGCTTTCCAATCTTTAATTTTACAAGTGATGAAGTAAATGTGTAGCATAAAAATGTGTGAAATCATTTTTCACAAGCAGTTGCACAACTCAGGATTGGCTTGGATTTCTATTCACTGAAGCTGTACTTTCTTTTTCTGTTCCAAATCATATGTTGTTAATCATTATCAAAAAATCTGAACAAAACTGAAATAGGAATATATTTGTTAATTTGATTTGAAGTTAACTGCATTATTTAGGGGGATTATTTACGTCAGTAGGCGATTACACATTAACAGTGAGTATTGATATGATTTTAGTCTGCTATTTTTTGGAATTTGGTGGGTATGGATGGCTTTAAACATGTAAAGAAATAAATAAAGGTACATATATATAATTGTTATTTCTTTTTTTTTAAGGAAAATAAGCACCAATCAAACAGCCACGATTATGAAAATGTTAAAGATAATTTTTCCTTTTGAACAGCAGCCTTAAATCAAAATACTGTAAAGAAAAAATGGAGAAATACTGGCATTATATTCTCTTAGAGCTCCATATGCTTTGCAGTTAGACTGGGGAGGGGACAAAATCTGTCTCTCTCATTCACATGAACACACATGGAACCAAACCAATGGTGGAAATAAAATTGAGGAGAAAAATCTTTCCCTTTTCTCTCCAGTCAGCTCTGCACTATTTACATGTGTGAGTGGTGATATGCCTGTGAGAACTGAGCAGTTGTACCTGCCTCTCCACACTCTATAGACATTAGAAAGTGTGTATCAAGTTATCTCATTTAGCTCTTGGGCTAGACCATGTATTTTACTTTGCATGCTACAATTGTCTTCCAAAATTCTTGACATCCAAATTTCCTGACTTTTGGGTGTTTATAATACTAACCCCAGAGACTATATTGACAGAGATGTTCGTATATACTTAAAGCAGAAGGAGCTCATTAGAATTAATTACTTTACAGTTGAGATTCAGATTATATCAACATATGAAAACAGCTTTTGTAGCCAAGTTACTGCCTTCCTTTACTATAATGAAATCACATAACTTCTCTAAAAGAGTTTCTGAAGCCTAAAATATTTCTGTATTTCAGAGTAGACTATCATATCAATACTCATCCTGTGTTTAAAATGTGTTGTGCTGTCATCACAAACACAGAAAACAGCATGATCCTGAGTTCAGCTGAGAAAATGTCAGTATATTTAATCAGTATTTTTATGTTAATGTAACAATGCTTGCACTATTTGCTTTAAAAAACCAATGATCCATCAGTGTTCATTTACTGTGTGCTGTTTGTATGTCCTTTGTGTTATTCTCTAATAAAACTACCTACCTTTTGAAAGGAGGCCTTTCAAATTCTTGGCCTTTTACATGTTTATATACATGCATATGAAAATAATATCAGACATAGGAACACTGTTCTTTCTAGAGGAAGATGTACCTGCAGGGGACATGAGTTTTATGTGTTACAACAGAATCCATAGAAGAAAGCCCAGGTCTGTCCCTTTTCTACCCACAATTCTTGAATCAGTGGCTTGCCATCCAGGGAATCTCTGTCCTTGTTTATCCTTTGAACATTTGTGTCAATGTAATGAGCAAACCTGTGACAAATTTAGGCAGTAGAAAGAATGACAAATGGTGATGTTTTCTGAGTGGGGAGGAGAGACAGAACAAAAAGGATATATATTTGGTAGATTCTATCCCTGCGTGTAGAAATTGGTTTGAAATTCCAAGTTTAATGTTTGCCTTAATTCACCTTAAACTATGGTGCCTGAGGTTTCACCTGCTGAAAAAAAATCTCTAGAAAATGCAGAAATTTAATAACAACTTCAGTACAGCATTATCTGCAATGAGTCCAATACTTAAATGAGTTCGAGTGAAATGTGCATTTGGATGAGGGGGATTTGTGTGTGATGTCCCCAAAGAGAGCCAGCCAGCCAAAATATGTAGTCCTTCGCTTAAATATCACTTAAGTTTACCACCCTTGATGTATTTTCAGTTGGGCTACATAGGATCCTTTTGCTCTCTAGAGATACACAAATGGCTTTTTCCTTAAGTTCTTTCCTTTCAGTTAACTTCTTCATGACATATCCTTTTGTAACTCCACTGTTTTGAATGTTTGTCATTCAGATCTCTGTAGATACAGCCCATGGTTATACTCCTCGAGCAATTGACATGAGCAATGTCACCCTCTCCAGAGATTTGCACGTAAGTCAGAAACACTTAATATGCCTACCCTTTATTTACAATTCAATTTTTTCTTTTCTGCTAGTTTATTTTGAACATACTTGGTGCCTTATGATACTTCCTTTGATATGCTTTGAATTTGGTTTTGCTTTTTTTTTGTCTTTGTCATCATTGCTCTTTGATCCTTTGTTGCTTTAAAAAAACATGGTTTGTGTTCAAAAGCCTCAAAGTTCATTTTAGTCCTGGATTGATTTTTTCCCCAGCTCTTTGTGAACATCTATAATTTTGAACAGAATCCTGTTTGGAAGAGCATGCAGCATCAGCTTTTTCTGTTTATCATTCATTCTCCACCATCTTCCCAAACATTTTATCATTGCTCTTTTTTTCTAAATTGAAGAAATAAGGAACCATTTTTACAACAAGTGTTATGAGAATAGAGAATGAAGAATTTGGGGGTAGGATTTTGACAGATCTATCAGTAGATTGCTATTATTTGTAAGAATAATTTTTACTTGATGAATTACGTTTGTTTCTTTAGAAAGTTAGGGGTTTTTCATGGTGTTTGGAATATGGTGATAGTTTTTACAATCTACATGTGTACTGTAAGTATGGATACAATATTATGTACACATACACTAGATAGCTTTAAATTAGCATGAGCGTTTCTACCAGTCTAGTTATGGCACCACAGCATTCAAAGCTGTCTACAACAAACTCCTGAAACATAGTGTTAAGTTTGCCTATACTGAGCTCTGTCACAGTGCAGCGAAACAGGCAGCAGTAGTAAAGTAATTAATTAACTGTACAGTATATGCTGTACTGTGTGTCTGATCATATTCTCACACTGGATTTCCCCTCCTTGATTCCTGTCTTTTAGTTTCCAGTTTTATATTTCTAACCACTGTAGATTGCTGACTAGCTTTACAATAATGATAATTTGCTGCCAATTAAGTGTCATGCTTGAATTAAAATTCAGTAGGTTACTGATCATTCCAAAAATTAATAACATTAATAACTGAATAACACTACTTCTGTCATTACACTGTTATCTTAAACTGATGGAACAGCTTCATTATAATTACATTATTTAACATTTGTATAGACTCAGCATAGTGAAAAAGACTGTGCAGACTTTTTTATTGCCTATGAGACAACTCTTGATATGAATGTCATCATAATATTATGATGCAATAAATCAAGCCCAGAGGAAAGTAACCAGCCTGTCACAACACAGAAAATAAATGGCATTAGAACTTCTGTTACTCCTTTGTTCACTCTTTTATGCTATACTCTCTAAGATTTGTCACTAATTCTGTTTCCTTTGTAACCCTCATCTGTAAAGCAGAGCTGATTAGCTTTGTGCATTATTTGTCCTTAATTGTGAAGAGAGGTCTTCTTTGAAACCAGCTTCAACATCTATTATTTAAAAGCTAAGCAAATTTATTTAAAATGCAATTTCAGGTATTAATTGTCCTGATACTGTCTTTCAGCAAATATTCAAACAGATTGGGTATTAAAGAAATCTGAGTTTTAAAAATGAACTGGATATGACTTGACTTTTGTAATGTTTAATATTTTTAAATTTGGAGTTCAGGGTTAGATTCTTCAGCCTTGTTTTAAATTGCTGGGAAAAGTTAGTCTCTTTTTTTTTTTTTTTAAATTAGTGCATAAGAATTGGTGCTATCTAATGTTTACATCATCCTGTGCCTATACTATGCTTACAGGGAACATGACAATGTCTAAAACTGTAAATTTAGGGAATACTTTTCATTTTGGTCTTAAGTGGTTAACTGGTCACATCCTGGCTCCGTGAGTAGGTAGATCTTGCTCTGAAACAATCTTCATAGCACTTATCTTTTCGTGGAAAGCAACCCCAGACTACGCTACATTCTTCCAAGGTCCTAATCTGGATTTGTCAAAACACCAGGACTAGAATGTGCATGATAGAAGGCACCTACCCTACAGGAGAGACACATATAATAATGTATCCACTGGAGAAATGTTTATAAAACAGGTTGTCCTATAGACAAACAAGATACAGCTGAAAAGTTTCAAGTTGATATCTGGGTTCATGAGTATTCTCCCAAATAAAGTAGTTGGTGTTGAGAAGTACTGGTTACTCAAAACCCTTGTTAAAGATGAGAAGAATTTTTCTGTAGGTCCATGAAAGAAGTGAAAATTGACATCTACAGAAAATTCCATCACTGTGTACAACTAGAGGGTATACAATCAGGAGGACAAGAGAGGTGGGTTTAAAGAGTTGTTTCATGTTGGGAATAGTAGTTCTTACTGTTTAGAGACTGGAGAGCTAGTCTGTGTTTTGCACAGTTTGGAGTCTAGTTTGTAGTTTACTGGTCTGAAAAGGTTTATTTTATAGGAAGAATTTACGTATGTGTTGTGCCCACTGGCAGAGAATTTCATGCTGAATAAAAAGCTGTGGCTGCATCTGTGGAAACCGTGGTAACATGTTTGGTGCTTTTAGCAGTGTGCTCTTGGAAATGAGTATCCACCTTGACCAGGCTATATCCATGCGTTTATAGTCAGTCTGCTGGAGCTAGCAGGAAAAATCTTGATTCAGTCCTCTGGTTTGCTGTTCTTTGTTTCCCTTACCAGGGTCTTCAGGGGGTCATTGTTGTCATTGTTTAGAGAATCAAGTCTTTGTCTGACTCTTCCCAAACTGTACTCCTCTTTGTGGTTCCTCCTGTTTTCTATTAACAGTTCTCTCTTCAGCACCAGGTTTATAATTTCTATATGCATGCACATCCTACCCAAATTGTATATCATAATTTTTCAATAAACTCTTGTTTTCAGTGAACCATTAAAGTGTAAGTGTATTGAACCTCCCAGAGAAAAAAACTTGTTATGCAGTATCAGCCACAAAATTGTCCTTCTTGAGAGTTAACCATTGCAACACATATCACTAATTTCTTAATTTTCCTAAGGCTATGGCTGAGATGATGGCCGAAAACTACCATAACATATGGGCAAAGAAAAAGAAAATGGAACTTGAAGCAAAAGGTAATATTAACTATAGTTATTTACAGTATTTTAAGTTCTCAATCATTAGCTTAGGTCATGTATTTGATATAAGAGGTTGGGGGAAAAAAAGGAATAGCAAATATAAATTGACTAGAAAGAACAAAATCTCTATTCTTAATTAAAGTTTTGTGATTTCTAGTGCCTGTTATTTTTGATAGCACTGAGTGTAACAATTCCTGTTGAAGTAGTTTACCAATTCAAATATATCAAAGGAAAAGAAGTCAAAGCTTGTAAATAAATTTAAGCCACGTGAATATGTTTTCCTTCTAGCATGACTCTGAAAAACTATTGCCCAGTGGGCTCTGATTTAATTTGAATTACTACTTTTATTGTAGATAGATCTAAAAGAATATTGACTAAGAACTGCACGTGTCATCTGTTGAACTGACAAGTAAATAAACCTAGAGTGGCTTCTTGATTCCACATGAAAATTGCATGTGCACCAAAGTTCACCAAACTTGGCATTTTTTTTTGATTGTATGCTTCCTTTTTTTTGTTGTTGTTGTAAGCTCACAGCAAAGGTACATAGTTCAGGTTTTATGAGAAAGTAAGAGTTCCACCTTACTATTATTAGGAGATTATATTTCTCACTAATACAGCCTTTATTTTAATTTTTATAGCCTTTTTGAAAAATATTTTCTTCAGGATAAATAGCCACAGGATAGGCTAAGTCTGAGAAATCATAGGCAAAAGGAAGACTAGGTATTTTAAATTTATTTGGCAGCTTTTTTTTGCCTCTGAGCAGCACTTCAATGAGAACATTGTATAGTGTCTGTAGTGTTGTGCAAAGGAACGTATTACTGAGAAGTGTAGAGGCAACTATAGTGAATGAAGGAGAGGCCTCTGATGGAGAGTGTATTTGTGTGATAAGTAGGTGTATTTGTCAGCTGAGCAGGGGGGTTTTCCATCCAGTGCATACATATGCTAGTTTTGAAATATTTTTTTACATGTGTAAAGGCCAGAACATTAGTGTGGACTTTAGATTCTTAATGCTCCTATTTTTCATTTAAGGCTTTTCACTTAAGCAAGCCACCTGAAAATTCCAGCTGTCATTCCCCTTCACTGAACACTTTGCATGTATTAATTTATAATTGAATGATCTATTATAGTCTTGCTAACTTTCATAGATAGAGCATGTATGCTCAATATGCTTATATGCATTTTTACATGTCTGCCTTCAGCTGTTAAGGTGGAATTTGATCACATTTGTGATTATAGAATAAAACTAAATCATCCCAGTGTTAAAGGCTTAGTTCCTAATATCAGTAGTCGTTAATATTTTCTAGACAGAATTTGTTCCTTTTTTCTTTTAATATTCTTACTAAAGACTTGCTGTAGTATTTTTTTCTGAGATGTCTGATTTTTACCCTTAGAATTATCGCAGGAATTTATTGTGTTCAGTTATATGATGGTGATTTTAGAAGGTGAAATCGTAAGAAAGCTGCTTTTTTACAGATATTTATATTAATAATAGCAACTTTATTTTCCTGCCAAATTAACTACCTAGATTCAGAGAGGTATCAACACATCAGCTATTTGTAAGCAATACAAATGCTGTTTACTCTTTTTACCTCTCTGTTTTGGCAGCATTCTTTTGATTAGGTTGGACACTTCTCTGAACCACGTTTGAATAATGTACCCTAATTTTCTGTCTTTCATTTATAACTATGAATTAAACTGTATAAATTTCATGTATTTTTAGCTATGTGCTTATCTTGCTAAACTCCATGAACCTTTTGATATCAGGATGTCTAAAAGCAGAACTATGTTTCTATATGTTTATATAGTTGTTTATATCTTTGTTTTCTTATGAAATTGTTATTGTTATTTATTGAAATATTTTCAATTTTATTAAATGAAGTCGTAATTGTCATACACATTTGTAACAGTTAAGCACCTTTTTCTTCAAGAGTTTTTGCAGTATGTTCAACATAGAACTGTGTTTGCAGCCACATCTAAATTTCTATTTCAGTATGTTTTGGGTGTAAAGAAACAGAAAATTGCCTTGGTTTTAGATTGTTTAGATTGCTTTTAGAGTTTACTGTAATGTGCTATGTATTATTATGACAGTGCTTATATATACCAGGACTTACCATGTCAACAGATAGCTCTTTAACTGCTTTTTAATTCTCTTGATGTTCAATAGTGGGAGGAGGCAACCATCCTCTTCTTGTCCCTTATGACACACTCACCGCCAAAGAAAAAGCCAAGGACAGAGAAAAAGCACAGGATATTCTGAAATTTCTACAGATCAATGGATATGTTGTCTCCAGGTACTTCTCTCTACAGTATTTGTGTCACAGAAGGTTTCTAATACTCCTCAGTAGTCTTTTGGTTTTGTTGGTTTTTTGTTAAAAGAAATATCTATGGTCATATTTAGGTTTCTGTATCTGGGAGTAAGGATGAGCTCCTTCATATATTGTAAGGAAGAAATAGATAGTGGAGTTAGTAGCAGGGTTTTTGGAAGGCACAAGCAGGGTGCTTCAGCATCTCTGCTGTGTCTTCTGCCTCCCCTCTCAACATTGCAGCATCCTTTTTCTTTCTGGTGTGTCTCCATACATTCAACTGTTAATCAACTTTTAAATTTTCTACAAGTGATACAATTACTAAATTTTCATTGAAGATCAGGCATGCACACCTCTCTATAGTTATTTCCAGGCAATTGCTTTGATAAGACAGTTTTATTTTGGAAATCTAGTACTAGTTTCTTTCAACTGAGTTAATTTGTACCATTATTATAATATTTTAAATGTGAAAAGTTATGTTTTTTTAAAGTGTTTTTAAACAATCCACAATGTAAATGTAATGATAGTGAATAAAAGTAGTAATCAACCGAACATTCATAATTCAGGACGTGTATATGCTATTCTCTGCAGAATAACATGCATAATTCCTTTTGATTTTAATATGACATATTTACCTACTAAATGCAGCATGAATAGAATTTTAATTGGAGACTTGTCTTCCTCGTAAGCATGGCTTAGGAAATGTGAGTCACTAGGAAAGGCTGAAAGCATAACTTGCTTGAACATTAGTAAGTAAATGAAACAGTCAGAGAGATGAATTTAAGTAATCATTGTGAATTAATTAGGCTAGCACATCTACTTAAAACTTTCTTTCCTTTCTTTTATATCACATATGAAATGCAGCCCATTTATAGGGTCCCACAGCTAATCTAATAATTCTAGGTAAAATCTTTCAGTGTAGCTGGAATAATTCAATTTACTTCCCTTTAGTGGAGTGGGATTTACAAAGAAGGATGTCAGTCAGCAAAGGTTTATTTTCTCATCCCCTTTAAAAATGACAAAAGACTCCTCAGCTATATTCAAGGTTACAAATTCCTTTTTGGTTAATCCCTTTTACTTCTGGCTAACTTAAACGCAAGTGAAAAGTGGCTTTTGGTTTCTGGAGGAATGGAAGGCTGAGGGATGGTAAGATAATTATTGACTTGGACACACTCATCATCTAGTAAATAGTTTCTGCCACATCTACATCCTTCTGTGCTAGGCATATGAAGGTCTTTCTGCCAGGTAAACTCCATGTACCAGCTGCTCCTGCCACCACTGCCCTGATCACCTGATTAGTCTTTTTCTTTGATCTGCTTACCACTTTCTGCCACATATGCCTTGCACACATTTCTTTCCAGTCTTTTATTTGACAGTGACTGTTCTAGACTAGTGAAGCCTCATGCACATTGGTTTTTGTAGGGAAGATAAAAGCACTAACCCCTTGCCAAACACATGGCATTCAGGCACATGGCCTGTGACTCACGGTCCCGCTTCAGCTGTTGGTGCTGAGCCACTAACTCACCTCATTGATACTCCTACCCCACATTAGCTGTTTTTTGGGACAGACAGCATTCCCAGCCACTGGGACACCCATTCCAGTTGCAGACACCACATACCAGG